TACCTCGTCGATGGCTACGGTAAACTCTCATATTCGGGTGGTAAGGAAGCTAGCATCATTACCAATAATAAATCATCCGGCAGTTCTGTGCCTGCCGCTTGGATTTGTTCAACTTTGTGTTCGTATTCGTTTGCCTATTGCATACTTTTATTCGATTGTGCGTACGAACTAATTCCTTGATTAGCTTCTTATGATACATTTGATTCAAATACATTTTCTAATTTCTCCCATGCCTCTTTTGATGTGTTAGCCTTTTTTACATACATGAATTATGCACCTTGTGTGCATATATTAAATAATGTAAGCGCCTTTTCTTGTCCATTTTACCTCGTTTTGTTCCGTTTTCATTTCACTTCATCAACGACTGATCATAAATCATTGTATACGAAGATACTTTTCATATGCACTTTCCATAATCCATAATTGTGTCGTTACATATATACGTTACATATGTGTGTGTGTGTGTGTGTGTGTGTGTGTGCATATGTACGTTCTGAACGACACCTCGAGATCAGTTGCACGCAAAGCCAGAGTTCATTTATTTAGTTGACGACAAAAGACAATCACACTACGTCTCGCAGCATTCATTGATATATTTCAACAGTTAAACTAATTGCATAGAAATCATGATTTGTTTTCTGTTTTATATTTGTTCTGCCTTCGTTACATTAAGTAACGTTAATTAAAAGTTATTCGTAATTTTTATATTTTATTCTATCTGTTTGAAAGTATATAATTCTTCAAAATTTCCAATAATCTAATACAAAATAACTATTATTGAAACTGTACCTCTACGACAAAGTTGTGTTAATGTGTTAATGTACAAAGTCAGTTTGAAACAAAAAAAAAAAAAGAAAAACGATTTGAAATTTAAAAACTCAAACAACTTTCATTTACAAAAGTTTCATTTGAACTCTTCGGCACCTGTACGGATTTTAAGGATGCTGAGAGTCAACTATATTATATATAATTATAACATTAGTCCATTAAAATCCATCCAGTTATTTCCAAATATAGTCCAAACAAGTAAGAATATTTACAATAACGTAAACAATATTGACAAATAACAATATATACAAATATTTACAAACAAAGTATTTTCAAGATATGCTACTGACAAGTATTCTTCAAAAAAGTTTCATAATATTTGTATGTGCCTCAGTCAACTTTGAGCCTATCGTCAATCTCATTTTTCTTCTTGACTTCCTTTTTATGTTTCTTGAGCAATTATTTCTATTTGAAAAATCTAGCATAGAGACTGAAATACCTGAAGTACATCAGCAGACCGATTTGGGCGTTACACAGCATAACAGAACATTCAACTTCACCGCTTCTTGCATAAGCATTATGAGTTACAACAATTATGAACCCTAAATCATTTGTCCGATCCATAGCGTAATGATCGTCATGATTATCCGCTTCGGTGGATTGAATCGCATTGCTTTCAAAGTATAATGCGAATACATTCAAGTGTGAATGAAAAAGTTCATCGTGCCATTCCGTCTGGAATAGGACGTTGTCTCTATAAAACATAACGACGAGTAAAGGAGAACTGTTACGTCATGATATCAATGTAGAAATCAATGCTTTTGTAGTAGGATGAACACTTTGATAGAATGACCCGATCTTATGCGATGCCGGAAATTATACTATTTTTATTGTAAATTAATATTTAAACAATATTGTTGTATATTTTGCATTAATGTTATGTGTTGTGATTCTTAATTGTTTGAGTTTTTAGTCTGCACTAGAGCATTGTATAGATAACTTTACAACCTGTAATAAATAATCAATAATAATAATAATCAATGAGAAATCAATTCGTTTAATTAGTAGAGATTCAAAGAGAATAATTATATTGCGATATATTGAATAAATATATCGATAGATACATGTTTAAAAATGAATGCTTACATGCTTATATTTTCTTATAAATCTTTGTTGGATCACTATCCACATTGAATCATTTAATAACTTGGTTATTTTCAGAGATAAGGATAAACTTTGTTAATAAAAATTATTCAGTAATTAGGAGCCATAACAGTAATAATTTTTTGTACATGAAGGGATTTTAAAAATTTAAAGGTCATTTTCACTTTTATATATAAAGGTATATATATATATAATACATATGTACATATATAATGATATATTTTTTGATTCGTTAATCGATGCATCTCGACATTCTTTCTAAAAAAAAGTATTAAATTATGTATGTCGAAATCTAGATTAGGAGATATTTTAGTGTCTGTTTCGGTTTACTCACATACGTATTTAATGGCTTAATCACAATTTAGTAGAAATGTTATATAATTAATCAGGTATAATTAATTCTAATAATAATACCTGAAATAAAGCAGAAATAAATAAATATAATAAATAAAAGTAAATAATGTATATCAAAAGAAGGCCCAAATGTGTGTTTTGGCATTCTAAGAATAAGAATAAAGTATTATTTTTAAATACAATTTTAAGAATTTGTATTGTGACAACTACGATATTTTATTTTCAAAGTTACATATATAATTTAAAGTGGAATATACTGTTTACTATTTTTTTGTTTTAAATAATATTTTAAATATGAACAGAAATATTACTTTCATTGAAGACACTATTTTGTGGTATCATTCGTCTGAGCGTTTATTCTTTGAAATTAAAATAGATTTAAAATTTCACAATTGCATTAAGTATATAATAATATAAAATAATTGTCAATAATAATTGTCAATAATAATATATATGAAAATATATAAATTCTTATATTCACCATAGATTATATATGAAAATATAAACATGTGGATTATATTTTATCTATAATCCTTTAGAAACGAATTTTTAATGAGTAATAAGCAATAAATATTTCAAGCTAACTTTAAAAAGTGAATCACTAAGATATAAGATTATGCATACATCGAAAGATTAGATGATATAACTGTTGTTTTTCTTTATTTATGTTTACAACATAAATAAAGTTTCTGTCCTTGAAAGGTCAGGTGCTTTTTATTTTTTCATTGTAAGTATCAGTTTTTTGCCATTGTGTCAGATTGATACTAAGGAACAAACTAAAATAAGAGATAAATGAGCATTAAAATTAGAAATGAGTTAGAAACTAATTCTTATATTCCTGAAACTGGAATTCAAAATTTTGTGAAATTTCGCAACTTTTCGACACTTGAAATACTGATATTACTTTATATTGAAATTAATACTTTTATATAAATTTTCATCCAGCTTCACACAGTTAAACGAAATATAAACAAAATATAATAACATATCTTGATACAGATTCTTATTTAAGGACAATACGTACTCTTTCTGGAGTTAATGTACTTGTATTTGTATGCCGGCTATAGTACCGGCTTCTAGCGATGTACTCGAATACATTTCAAAGTATACAAAGAATTGATGGAGATCTAATAAGGTATATTTTTAACATATTTCCTTATCCTTAGGAAC